GGCTCCGGTTATTATAAAACACGTTTAAAAAAGATAAAATACCTGATCATTACTTGGAAATTATATCGAAATATACTTTTTTTAGTAGTGTGAATTTTGATATATTCTAGAATGCATGTCCATGATAAGCCTCACTTTGATATAACATCTTCAGAGAATTAAATTGCTGATTCTTTCAATTATTTTCGGTTTCCTACAGATCACAGTTTGAAATAAATAAATTTCACAGCATTCATGGAACGCAAAATTTTTACTACATGAGCTTCATTGAAATTACTCTCCATCCATTAAGTATCCTGTGTTCTCAGGTATAATGCGTTATTCACATATTTGTTTTAAATTGTGATATTTGAAAAACTGCGAATAACGCAAATATTCAGTAATCTAACCCCCAACATTTTCGCACCAAAATAAAGCTCATAAAAAGCCTGTATAAATCATGCACGATATTTGAAAATAACGAGACACTATGAGACATGGAGCTAATTTTGACTACTGACCATAAATGTGTCTGTCATACAAACTGTCAAAGCCAAGTGTTTTTTCGGAGAAACTATCCCGTAGCTCCAGAAGTAGCGATCCAAATCGTATAGTATGAACATCGACCGATAAGACACTAGAAAGTTGCCCTTTATGTATTAGAGATCCAGGTCTAGGATTCACAGACTATTTGTACCTATCTGGATGTAATAGCAGCGTGGCCTTCATCTACAGGGTGGTTCCGAAAGACGTGCCAATATTTCCACGGTAAAAAGCGCATTCAAAAATAACAAAATAAGCTCCTATAAATAGATGCTCCCCTATCAAAATACAGGGTGATGAAGTTTAATTTACGAAAAAAATATATCTACGGAGCGGGTAAAGATAGTGAGTTAGGATCTTAAACATTCAGTGAGCACATCATAAGCAAGAAACACAGAGTTTTTCGGCCTAAACTAAACCAGAGACGTTGAAACTGGGGTACCTGGATCCCTAATATTTTGTACTCAACTGACATTTTTGGAGAAAAGAAGTGCATTCAATGGAATAAATACCATTCAATTTTCTATAAATTTTGTCGTTTGAGAAATCTTTGTCAGATCACTCGTTTTGGAGATATTTAGGTTTGAATATTTGAAGTAAAGTCCTTAAATATTCTTATGGAAAGGTTTAGCCGCCCCTGCTCTGGAAACACCGCGAAGCTCGATATATGACTTGCCAAGAAAGCTGTGGCACCTCATTACAGCATTAATTGAATAGTATGTATGTCTTATCCTCAACTAGTACTGACTAGAAGCTTACTATTCATTAAACCTTGCCTATGAACATTTTTATGGTATTACCCATGTTAGATTCTTCTCTTTGTCTAAAATCACAACTAGTAATTGTGTATCCAATCATTTTCAGTAAAATTGTTATTGCTTTGCTTCTGAAATTATCGACCTTTTTTTCTAAAAATGGACAAGTTTACCATTTATCTATTAGCTCAAATGAAGTTTTAAGAAACATGAAACAAGATGGTGAAAAAATTATTAATGTATCTCTAGAAACAAAAAAGTTACAGCCTATCAAAGTTGCTCCCCGCGAGAATATTTTTATTCCTTCTGTACCCTACCCGTGACGTCACACTTCAGTATCCAGTTGCAATGCCCGCGGCCGATTACTGGGTCCCAGCGGACTCAATCTCCTAAACACATGCATGGGCACTGATACAGCGGGACACATGGTAGGCTAGACGTCTTCCGCCCCAATTTGTTTAATCAGTTGACTGCATATACGACCGGTTAAGAGCGAAATAAGAAAAAAAGGTTGTTATAAGTAGCGTTCCAAAACAATTACAACCCCTAATAAACATTTTTTCTACGTACCTTCACATGAAAATATAAGGAAGAAATGATGCAAATTTATGAAGCGTGATTTGATTGCATCAAAAAGTACAACATTCAAATTCAAATTCAAAATATATGTCTGTGAGAACCATTTTGATAGGAGTTTATCACTTTACTGTTTATTTATGATTATTAGTTATTATATGATTTCCAAGCCCACTTCACTGTACACGCGGCATTTGGAGGGGAAATATTTATCAACTAATATTACAGGTCACTTATTTCAACTCAGCAAGAGGGTCAAGTAGGTTGACTCTTTACTGTATGCGTGTGTAATGTTATTATATACTTTAATGATATTTTAGAAAAGTATCGTGTCATATTCGCAAATCTGTACTCGTATTAAGCATCAATATTAATTTATTTAAAACCTCAGTAGGGTATCGCACATTTTGCCGCTAGTTGCGTTAGTGTAGCAGTAGACATAAATACTTACTTCCAAAGTTTCACACCTATTATTTCCGGGATTGTGTATGATGGGTCTGAAGAAATGAATTCAATCACTGCATAAATGTCAATTTTCACTTAACCCTTTTACAAATCCGGCTTCCAGAATGATATGAAATTACGCAGTAGTCAATAGTTATCAACTAGAAACCACGTATCCGAGAGCACTGGAGTGTCATGAATTGTCTATGGGCTAATGACTAAACGCTCAGAGTGCTCAGACGCTGTCGAACACCTACGCGACGAGACGCTGGGCGCTAGAGAAGTGTGACGTCAGACGCGAACGAGCAGCAGCAATGATTTCGCGCTATAATGCGCCCAATTTAAGTATCATTTTCTCTGTCGTTTATTGGACGATTTCAATAATTTTTTCACTGGATAATTATATGTAGGTTGTTTATATTTTGCTGGTATGTCATTACTTATGCGATTCTGAATATCATGGAACTTCTCCATTATTTATCATTTCAGATTGAGTAAGCTCAACAAAGGAGAAATCACATATATATTTACCAAACTTGGACACGAAGTATGAGGACGAAGTATACAGAAGGCTTGCAACACTGTTCGTACTACGCAAGAGCCTTTGTGGCGTAAAGCACGGGCTTGTGTTGAATCCAGAGGTTGTCACTTTCACCACCTCTTTAGGTTGGATTTATTCAGCATTAGTTTTTGTTCCCAATGTTATGTCCTTATAAATTTAGAAACAACCACGTAAGTTGTATCAAATTTAATGTTTACTGTTGTCGTGTTTAATTCTTATTAGTTTTATTTATTTTTGAAATAAACGTTTTGAAACTTTTTCACATATAAACAAAACCAGTGGCGTGCACAGGAAAAGCTTAATGAATCATAAGCTTCTACGCTACTGATTGAGGATAAGACACACATATCATTCAACTAATGGTTGTCACATGCCGTATATTGTTTCCAAAATCAAGCAACAGTATTTTGAGAATAGAGAGGCTAAACCTTTTCATACGCATTTTTCGGGATTTTACCTAAAATATTCAAATCTGAATATCTCCAAAACGAGTGATCGTTTCTCCGAAAAGGCCAGTGTCTTAGAAAATATTACCTACAAGGTTTTTTTTTATACTCCAACTACCACGAAGGCCTAAGGCCTAAATACCCATTGGGCACCGTGGGGCTATAGGGGGATACAGGGGAAAGGGGGACGCCACACGGACTCTGGCGAGGGAACACGTGTGCATGCACACATTCTGGCTCCGCCTACGAGATCCGCCGGGTGGTACCTCCACGTTCGACAGTCAGAGACCGTCTACCACCTACGGACAATCACAACATCCATAGCAAGAGAAAAATTTCTCTTGGGACGGGACTCGAACCCGCACAGCGCACGGCGACTGATCAGTCTACTACTGCGGCCACCGCTGCTGCCTAAGGGTGTCCAACTACCCCAGTTTCGACATCTCTGGTTTAGTTTGAACCGGGAAGCTCTGCGAGTCTATTACTTATGAATTATACACGTCTAAGACGTTAACTAACAGTATCTTTACCCGCTCCGTAGATACATTTCTTTCAATTTCGAAAATAAATTTTCATCACCCTGTATCTCGGTAGGAGGATCTTTGGACCCATATTTACTGGAACTTTTTTTGTTATTTTTGGAAGTTCCTTCTACCCTAGAAATATTGGCACGCCTTTCAGAAACACCCTGTATGGACGTGCATTATCTAGCGGAAAGTCTCCGCTTAGTTTGGCTCCACTTCATAGTAAGCAGTCTATTAGTTTTAAATGTTAGCAATCGAGAAAGAATATCTTTTTCTTCATTTATCACAGAAAATCGAACCACGGCTGTACGCTAAAAATACATAGACAATGTTGTATGTCTCATGTCTTAAAGCATCTCCACACTTACGCGAGAACAGACGAGAACTTGTACTGACTCCACAGTCGCATGTCTTGCAGTGACAGGTGACTCGCCGATTAGAACAGTTGTGCGTGGTATTTACTACTGACCAATATGAGCCGGATTTGGACAAACGAGCTAGAATTGAATAGAATATTTTAAAGCAGAACCGATTTTGTGAAATACAAATTCAAAAGAATATAAACATAAATTAAAAGCCCACGATGCGTGGAAACGTATTAGTATCTCGATGGCATTTGATTGAAGGATCAAAAAGCAAATAAAAATCGTGATTAGCCGACTTCAGAGGGTATAAAAATAAAGTAAAGAAATCGTAAAAATCTGGTGCTGGCGTCGACGACATTTAATTCTGCATCCATCCTCATCGAGTACAAGAAGTTTACTAAGAGCCTTGCGAGTGTGGACCCAAAGAAGTTTGTCGCTGAGATTCTTGCCGAGATTATCGGCGAGATTCTCGCGTGAGTGTGGAGCGGCTTTTACTGTAGTACTGCGTTTAACACCAAATGACTATTGTAAGCACAACATACATATATACAGGCACTGACGCAGACGTTCCTCTGTTGACGTCATGTAAGGAGATCCAAGATGGTACTCTGCTGATTGAGGACACGGTGGTGAACAACGGTAGGGATGTTTGCGTTTTGGTGGAGAACACTGTAGATTGTTCCTTTTCGGTGTCGTATCTGTTGCCGAGATTCTCTTTTTTCTTAGATTGTTTGATCTTCTTGTTTTTCTCGTTGTGGGACAGCTTCTTGTGACTGACTTCGATGTATCTGGGAGTGCTGGTAGTACTAGTGGACTTCACCACGTGTTCTAAAACTAGTAAGGTATGTTAGAGACTCAAACACAAAAATCAATTTTTTTGTTTGAATATGTCATTTATAAAATTGTAGACCAAATTTCATCATCTTCACCTATCTGGATGTTTCCAATTCGATCATCACCATGACGCTTAGAAAACTTTGAAATTCAAGGGCTTTCGAAGAGAGACAAGAAAACAGAATTTTTGCCCGACTTTATTTGTGGTATAAATTGTACATTAACATAGCCACTCTTTTCCTCTACAAGATGATACCGTTATAATTTCAATACAACGTTTCGTCTCTTGTCCTCCAGAGGAGAAAAAGCGGCGATAACAACATGCAACTTATTTTGAAATCTCATCTCAAATAAAACCAGGACAAAATAAAAATGATTTTTGGATAAATCTGGTATATGAAACAAATGGCTATCTGATAATTTCAAGGCCAACCTGGGAAATTATATTTTTTTAAGTAACTAAGGTTTGACGATGTCAATGTATATGTATACTAAGTGACATATAAATCCGAACACCCAGTTTAAATGGTTTTATTTTAATAAAAGTACTTGAAGCATAATAAGTAAATGATAAAAATTTCAAAATGATTGCACTGCTTTAAAGCCCTTTGACCTTTAATAATGTGTGGATGCACCCTGATGTGCTACGCATTCTCCAACGCGCCTAGGCATGCTTCTGATCAGGTGGTCAATGTCCTCCTGTGGTATCTCATTCCAGGCAACCACCAACTCCTCTCGAAGTGCTTCTAGAGTCTGAGGAGGACGTTGCAAATTGAGCAATCTCCTACCCATCATATCCCACACGTGCTCAATTGGGGATAAGTCGGGAGATCTTGGTGGCCATGGTAACAATGTGACATCATTATGTTGAAAGAAGTCTATTGTGACTCTTGCAACGTGTGGTCGGGCATTATCTTGTTGGAAAGTTGGATCTGCCAGGGTGTCAAGATAGGGTAAAAGATGGGGTTCTAGAACTTCGTGGATATAACGCTGCGCGTTCATGCTACCTCTGATGAAGATTAAAGGTGACCTGGAACCATAAGCTATAGCACTCCAAACCATAACTCCAACAGTGTGATGGACATGTCTTTCAACAAAAAACTGTGGATTCCTCCTTTCACCACGTCGCCTTCTAACCCTGGCACGACCATCGTGCATGGCTAAACAAAGTCAAGACTCGTCACTAAAGAAAATACTGTTCCATTCCTGATCCCAGAGTGACCGTTGTCTGCACCACTCAAGGCGATTACGTCGGTGTTCTCGAGTTAAAGGGAGGACCCAGTGTGGCCGGTATGAAAACAAGCCAAAACTTCTCATTCGTCGGTAAACACTTCGCATGCCAATAGGTCTTCCGTGTTCAGCAAACCATTCATTTGCAATGGACCTGGTAGTGGAGAAACGGTCCCTTAAGGCCAATAATCTTAGGCGGCGATCTTCACGGTCTGTTGTTCTACGGCGGCGTCCAGTGCCCCTTGCTCTTTGCGTACGGCCTTCTCGAAGCCATGCCTGACAACACCTAACCACAGTGTCTCTCTCTAACTGCAATTGCCCGAAAAGAAAATCCAACTTCCCGAAGTCCCACTATACGGCCCCTATCAAACTCACTAAGTTGACGAAATCGTACAGGTCTCCGTACTATAGGCATAGCAACCGATCGTAAAGGATGTCAAGAACCAAAATCCGCCAACGTTGATTCTTTACTGCGGCTGAAATATTCATTTTTAGAGCGTTAGTGAATTAAAAAAAAGCAGTACAAAAACCGGAATGTTCAACTGATAAGGCTGAACATTTTTTCACTTGTTATTTACAGTAAGATAAATACATTCACCAACTTTTATTAAAATAAAACCATTTAAACTGGGTGTTCGGATTTATATGTCACTTAGTATATAACATACTATACATTTTTGAAATCAGAATAAAAAACTCTATTCACCTATGCAATCCAATATGGCGTCATTGACGAGAAATAAGGTTGATGCTGCAGGACAAGAGACGAGACGTCATTGAAAATCTAGCCGTGCCATCTTGTAGAGGAGAACAAGTGTCAATGTTAAGGTGCAACTTATTTGAAATCCCATTACAAGTAAAGTCAGGAAAAGATCAAAATTATTTTGGGAGAATTCCTTTTTTCCGACACAAAAGATTCTAAGAGCCATTTTGTTAACTAACTGAATACTCAACTTAAGCGACTTCGTATCTCTAACCGTTTCCGAGATCCCAATGATGAAGGTCGAATTTAAACACTCGGTATTTTGCAGCTAAAGAATATTATAATAATAATGTAATACCCCAATGAAAAGTAGCTTTTAATGATAACAAAAAGACCTAGCTGAATAATAATGTCATTCAGATTTATCCTGCTAACTATAATATGCCAGTTTGTCAATTAAACGCAAGATGTTGCTTTGCGAATCCACGACTGTTTTCAAGCTTCGAAATAAAATTCTGGTGTCCACAAATTAAATCACAAGCACTTTCAGTGCGCTGTTGAAGCTTTTCCAGAGTAGTTACTGCTCCATCATGATACACCAACTCTTTCAAATAGCCCCACAGAAAAACATCGCAAAGCGTTAGATCCGGGGAGCAAGTAGGCCAAGAAATGGGTCCTTTGCGTTCTATTCATATGTTCATGAACTTCTCGTCTAAAGTGTGGTGAAGCCCCATCATGTAGAAACCACATATTCTGTCTCACATTTAGAGATACATCTTCTAATAATTGTGGCAGATTGGGTCGAAGAAAACCTAAATAAATAAAAAAGTAGGGTCCAATAAGCATGCCATTTACCACGCCAGCCCAAACATTATTAGAAAATCTATATTGAAAATAAGTTCTTTTCACAGCATGCGGAATTTCTACTGCCCAAGCATGATTATTGTGGAAATTGTTTTCACAAACATGGGCCGTTTTTTATTAAAAAAGCTGATACAACCAAAGACTCGTACTGAAAGCCAGACAATAACACAAAAAGTTTGCCAAATTCAGTTAAACGATAAGGGTAGTAAACAAAAAACGCTAAGATTTTACATGGCAGTGGTAGAGAATATAAAAAAAATCTGTATAATATCATTCTTATTTTTTAAATTTTTTAATCTTGTACCATTTCTTTTAGTAGGTGATCTTTGGTATATCAACTCCGTTTGACGAGTCCTACAAGCAGCTAAAAAAAATGATTCAAACTTGGAAACACCCCGTATAAAGGAAAAGTCGGACGCTTGTAACTCTCATTCCCTCAAATCCGCTACTGACGCGTTGTTTTATGGATTCATTAATGGGCTTTTGTTGCATTGGAAAATATCTATTTGTTATTACCCCATACCATATCTATACAATGAATTGATTCGTATTGAAAGTATTTCACATATTTAACCTATTTGGCAATATGTAAAAACTTACATATCTCAATTGAAGAGGCCATTATTGATCTCGCACACAAAGGGCTCGACTTACATATCAACCTAATTATATACAGGGTGTCCCAGAAGTCGACGTCAAGCCGAAACCGGGTGATAGGCAAAGTCATAACAGCTATCAGAAGAATATTTAAAAAAAATTATGTATCTGTTTTGAAAATTATAGGGCTTTGAAAAAATATAGAAATTTCACACCCTACATCAGTCTGTCAACTCCTGTTACTACAAATATTAACTTTTTTTTGATTTTATTTTTACAATGTAATGATGAATAATGCATCTTCAAACTGGTGTCTCAACCTTACTGCCAACTTTTCTCGTTCAGGAAAAATTGCCACTTATTTCCCAACCAAGTATTCCAAAGTAAAACTTTGCTCAACTTTAATTGGCTGTACTGGAAAAAATGTACTACGAGAGTTTGGCAAGTAACCTTAAAAGTTGGCGCATTTAATAAGGATTCCAAAATGGTATAACACTTAGAAGATTACTCGTTAAATTATGCACAATTTTTATTTGAAGAAAAACTGATGAAAATTTTTCAAAATTTCCTAGTTAAACAGCGATTAAGAAAACGCACAAGGACCCTTAAGGATAACTGTTTGCACAACAGTGGGCGTCAAAATGCTGCTGATGATGATTTACCTTCACAGCAAATGCTCAAACTGTTTTCCTTCAGCCGCAATACACGCTCGACATCTTCTTAAAAAAGATCGGGTTATTAAACGAGCGAATCCACGGTTATTAACAAACTCAGCTGCTTCCAATAGTCTTTGCCGTAGCTCAGCTACATTTTGAATCGGCTTGAAATACACTTTTTCTTTTACAGTTCCCCAGTAAAAAAATCTAAAGGATTCAAATCAGGTGATCGGGCTGGTCACGGTATTGTACCAGACCGCCTTATCCATCTGCTTGGAAAGTTTTGATCGAGATACTCTCTCACTGAGAGTGCATAGTGCGCTGGGCAGCCATCATGCTGAAACTACATGTCCCTGTAAATACTCAGTGGCACGTCCACCAATAAATTTTGTACATGATTTTTCAAAAAATCCAAATAAACTTCAGCAGTCAAAGTCTCTGGGAACTCAAACGGACCGATTATTTTACCATTTAAAATTCCTGTCCAATGGTTTATCTTGAAGCGATATTGAGATTTATCTTCTCTCATCAAATGTGGGTTTGCTACGTGCCACTCGTGTAAGTTATGCAGGTTCATGTACCCATCTTTCTTAAATGTGGTCTCATCCGACCATAAAATTTTTTCAAAGAACTGTAGATCTTTCATGTGTCTTTCTAACATTGTGCGACAAAAACCCGCTCGGGGCTCATAATCCCGGGGCGGGAGAGGTTGAACACGCTGTATGTGGTATGGATGAAGCACATCGCTTACTTGCTATTGCACACTTTGATACCGATCAGTACTCCTTCGTTTACTGCGCATCTTTACATGTTCGTGCTTGTTGATTTCGTACTGTTACTAATTTTGGATTCGTGAACTGGACTGTTGATCGCTTGTGATTTGGATTTGGACTGTTTAATTGCTCTTCAAAACATCATTTGCTTTCCTTAGACTATCTTTGATAGTGTGATTGTGCAGTGCCGCTATGTCCGTGTACACCGTACAAGAATATGCTAACATGCACCTCATTTATGGGGAATGCAGATGTATCGCTAGTGCTGCAGCGAGACTTTACTGTGAGAGATACCCGAATGCAGCTCGTCATCCAGATCATCGAGTGTTCACAAATGTGCACCGCTTACTGTTCTCAGAGGGCCAACTACCAAACCAATCACACGGTGAGGGAAGATCTTTCCTTCCTTACGAAGACGTGGTTCTAGGAGCTGTCGAAGAAGACCCGAGTTCTTCAGTGCGTGCAATAGAACTAAAAACAGGTGTGCCCAAAAGTACAGCCCGTAGAATCTTGCAAAAAACGTGCTCCATCCATACCACGTACAGCGTGCTCCAGCTCTTCTGCCCCGGGATTATGAGCCCCGAGTTGCTTTTTGTCGCACAATGTTAGAAAGACACAGGGAAGATCCACGGTTATTTGAAAAAATTTTATGGTCAGATGAGACCACATTTAAGGAAGATGGGTACATGAACCTGTATAACTTACACGAGTGGTACGTAGCAAACCCACATTTGATGAGAGAAGATAAATCTCAATATCGCTTCAAGATAAACCATTGGACAGGAATTTTAAATGGTAAAATAGTCGGTCCGTTTGAGTTCCCAGAGACTTTGACTGCTGAGGTTTATTTAGGTTTTTTGCAAAATCATTTAGAAAATTTATTGGAGGACGTGCCACTGAGTATTTACAGTGACATGTGGTTTCAGCATGATGGCTGCCCAGCGCACTATGCACTCTCAGTGAGAGAGTATCTCGATCAAAACTTTCCAGGCAGATGGATAGGGCGGTCTGGTACAATACCGTGGCCAGCCCGGTCACCAGATTTGAATCCGTTAGATTTTTTTGACTGGAGAACTGTAAAAGAAAAAGTGTATTTCAAGCCGATTCAAAAAGTAGCTGAGCTACGGCAAAGACTATTGGAAGCAGCTGAGTTTGTTAATAACCGTGGATTCGCTCGTTTAATAGTCCGATCTTTTTTAAGAAGATGTCGAGCGTGTATTGCGGCTGAAGGAAAACAGTTTGAGCATTTGCTGTAAAGGTAAATCATCATCAGCAGCATTTTGACGCCCAGTGTTGTGCAAAACAGTTATCTTTAAGGGTCCTTGTGCGTTTTCATAATCGCTGTTTAATTAGGAAATTTTGAAAAATTTTCATCAGTTTTTCTTTAAATAAAAATTGTGCATAAGTAACGAGTAATCTTCTAAGTGTTATACCATTTTGGAATCCTTATTAAATGCGCCAACTTTTAAGGTTACTTGCCAAACTCTCGTGGTACATTTTTTTCCAGTACAGCCAGTTAAAGTTGAGCAAAGTTTTACTTTGGAATACTTGGTTGGGAAATAAGTGGCAATTTTTCCTGAACGAGAAAAGTTGGCAGTAAGGTTGAGACACCAGTTTGAAGATGCATTATTCATCTTTACATTGTAAAAATAAAATCCAAAAAAAGTTGATATTTGTAATAACAGGAGTTGACAGACTGCCGTAGGGTGTGAAATTTCTATATCTTTTTCAAAGACCTATAATTTTCAAAACACATACATAAAATTTTTTTAAATATTTTCCTAATAGCTGTTATGACTTTGCCTATCACCCGGTTTCGGCTTGACATCGACTTCTGGGACACCCTGTATATAATATACTATAATTTATTTCGTTTTTGATGCACAATAACTAATGCGTCTGGATCAGTATATATCACATTGTCTTTACCTTGCAATCTAACCACTGCCTCAGCTTTACCAAGGAGGTTGTAGGACTGGCAGATGTAACCGCCAAAGTCAGACTTATCTAAGTTTTTAATTGTCAGGTTCATTAGTAGGGAATAGTCATTTATTTGTGTTTCTTGCATCACGTACTTGTCGTTGGGAAGAAGCTTCTCACCTGAAATTAAACGTTATTATTTCAGTTTTATTATATAGTTTTACCTTTCACTTGCCTCCCCGATTGCCACGGAAATGCGAAAATGAGATGTGTTTCTTAAATGTATATGACAACGGGAGAAAAGTCTCTTATTTTCTGTGGTTTGTCTGTTTGTGTAGCGGTTTGTCCGATAACCCCGCTTGGGCTCTTTGTGACTTGGAAGATACCGCTCTGATTTTGATGAATTTTTGACACAAGGTTACTATAATTCCAATGATGGAAAAGTTTTCGAAAGTCGATCCATTGGTAGTTTATGAGCTATTATGATGTTATATGGCACGTAGATCACGAAAGACCATATCACTAATTTGCATGTCTGTCCTCTAATCCTTGACCCCGCTATAGCATAGAAAGCAACAGTCGTATTTTGTTGAAATTTTCATACTATGCCAAGAACGAAAAAGCTTTAGTTAAAAATCGATACAGTGGTGGTGGAGCTAGCGTGAAAAAAATAAAAATCGTTCAAACTTCGTTTTTTGATGTTTCAGAGGATTTTGATTATTTTGAACTCTTTAGGGTTGAAGAATTCATGATATTTCAGTTTTTTAACGTTGGTATACGCGTTTCGCGGTTCTGTCGATGCATGTGTGTAGCAGTCGGCCTCCGCTGCTCGACTGAATATACCATAACAGTTTGATTATTACAACGTTTGACTAAGCATTCCAGTTATTTCCTGTAATGACTGAACAATTTCAGGCAAACACCGTAACAACCACATACCGACGTAATCGCCTTGAGTGGTGCAGACAACGGTCACTCTGGGATCAGGAATGGAACATATTATCTTTAGTGACGAGTCTCGATTTTGTTTAGGCATGCACGATGGTCGTGCCAGGGTTAGAAGGCGACGTGGTGAAAGGAGGAATCCACAGTTTTTTGTTGAAAGACATGTTCATCACACTGTTGGAGTTATGGTTTGGGGTGCTATAGCTTATGGTTCAAGGTCACCTTTAATCTTCATCAGAGGTAACATGAACGCGCAGCGTTATATCCACGAAGTTCTAGAACACCATCTTTTACCCTATCTTGACACCCTGGCAGATCCAACTTTCCAACAAGATAATGCCCGACCACATGTTGCAAGAGTCACAATAGACTTCTTTCAACAAAATGATGTCACATTGTTACCATGGCCACCAAGATCTCCCGACTTATCCCCAATTGAGCACGTGTGGGATATGATGGGTAGGAGATTGCTCAATTTTCAACGTCCTCCTCAGACTCTAGAAACACTTCGAGAGGAGTTGGTGGTTGCCTGGAATGAGATACCACAGGAGGACATTGACCACCTGATCAGAAGCATGCCTAGGCGCGTTGGAGAATGCGTAGCACATCAGGGTGCATCCACACATTATTAAAGGTCAAAGGGCTTTAAAGCAGTGCAATCATTTTGAAATTTTTATCATTTACTTATTATGCTTCATTAAGTACTTATACAAAATTTTATTAAAATAAAACCATTTAAACTGGGTGTTCGGATTTATTTGTCACTTAGTATAGTACATTGTTATATTATGTACTTCGTTGGAGCATCACTGTATTGATTACAGCGTTTAACTAAAATAGGCGAATGCAGTAACGAAGTTAATGTGGTTGTTCCGGTGTTTGACTGAAATTGTTCAGTCATTACAGGGAATGACTGAAATGCTTAGTCAAATGTTGTAATCAATCTATTACGGTGCTTGCCGGCAACACGAAGACTGACTAGGCATTTCAGGGAATGACGGATTTCCGCGTTTGACGCCGATATACACATAGCTTGGATCTTTTGCGCCCGCAGGTATTTTTCGCATGGGAAGGGGGAGGGCCATCCATCGGCAAGGGATAATTTTATGCGAGAGCGTAACTGCCTCCAAATCTGTTTGAAGAGCGAGGGGTGGAATATTTTCACAGGGGGTCAGGTCCTAAAGAACCCCAGAATTGTACAGCGAAGCATGTATGTAACATAACATACAAATTTCAATTTTATGGGCCTATTTGACTGACTTGATCCATTTAATTTTACGTCATATTTGTTCGCAATCCCTTAAGACCGCGTTGCGTAGGAAGTGCAGAGTTTTTCATAGTTGGCACTATTTTTTAGTTTGTACTTTGAAAAAGGTCACTGAGGCCGAAAAGTCAGTAAAGAGTCATTCCTGCGTATGTGGTTGCATTTAGCGACCAGACAACCACAGAATATTGTATACTGGAAGACCACTTTGACGATTGTGGACATCTATCTAAGCAATGCCCAGAACGTCGAGCATTCATGAGCCTCAGTCTAAGCGATCTTCCGTCATCTTTCATCGTATGGGATAATAATAATAATAATATTTATTTACTCAATGTACAAAGATAACAAACAATATGTGTAAATAAATATAAAATCAAAACAGGCCCAATAGAAGGCATCGCCTGTACATGGACCAATAATTTAAGTTGAAACTGTAGAATGCAAATGACAAAACAGGACAAAAATTAGCTACAGTAGATTATGTATTTAGTTGATGTTCGCATTTATGAGTTTATGAATTTCAGTCCTAGATATAGAATGTAGCCACTTTTTTAAATTTCTTTTGAAACAATTTCCGAAACGTAAATCTTTTAAGTCTTTAGGTATAATTTCATAAAATTTAGGCGCTAAATAGAGATATGATCGCTGCATTATAGATTTATGCGGTTGAGGAATTACTGTGCCACGAATTTTGTACCTGGTATAATGATTATGTTTAATTTTTTGGTCGGTGTTTATAAATTTATGGTAGTGAGTGATACTGTGTAAGAAATAAAGCTGTCTTATATCATACATTCGAACATCTGCGTATAATTTTTCAGTGGGATAAAGTTTCGGTTATTTAAATATCATTTTTAGAATACTTTTTTGAAAAACATCTAAATTATAGATATGTGAGGAACATGCAGCTCCCCATGCTAATATACCATATGTGAGATGAGGCTCAATCAGTGCATGGTATAATGTTCGAAGATATTTTTCTGTCAATATATTCCCAAGGTATTTAATTTTGTAGGATACAAATCTAACTTTCTTTAAAATATAATTGACATGGATGTCCCATCGTAAGTGAGGATCCAAGACCACTCCAAGGTATTTTATGTTGGACACTCTATTAATTTGCATTTTTTGATCATTAATATTGAAGGAGAAATTTGTGTAATTTGGCAGATGTCTAGCATAAGATCCAAATGGTAAAAAATGTGTTTTAGAGTAGTTAATGCTTAATTTTCTACTGTTAAACCACCGAATAATTTTGATAAAATCATTTTCAATTACATTTTTCAGATCAGACCAGTCAGTGCCTTTATATAATATTGCAGTATCATTTGCAAAACTAGTTATTTTGCCAACACAATTAATTTGGAAAATATCATTTAAATATATATTGAATAACAGCGGACCTAAGACAGTTCCTTGTGGGACACCACACTTAATATACATTTCTTTACTAAATGATCCTGATATCTGCACAGATTGTGGGCGATTTGACAAATAACTTTCGATCAGTGAGTACGCGTTTCCTCTGAAACCAATTCTCTCCAATGCTTCTAATAATAATTTGTGATTAACTGTGTCGAAAGCTTTCTTTAAATCAACAAAAATGCAGATTGAAGGGATTCTGTTATCAATATTTTGATATATTTGATTTACAATTTTAGTTATTGCGTCCGATGTAGCCTTCCCTTCTGTAAATCCATATTGATTTTCACTTAAAATTTTGAATTTTGTGAGGTATCGAATCATTCTAGTAGATAAAACTTTTTCAAAAACCTTTGCTACACTGGATATTATTGATATTGGTCTATAGTTGTTAACATCTGTTTTTGTTCCTGATTTATGTATCGGTATTATATTACCTTTTTTTAAAATTGAGGCATATATGCCAGATTCAAAGCATTTGTTGATTAGGTAAGTGAGTGGTTCTGTTATGTCCTCGGCTATAATTTTCAAATGCTCGCTTTTAATACCATCGACTAAAGATCAACTTGTCGAACCACTGGTAGGACGAGATCGTCGTGGCCTAAATCCACATAGTATTCTAAGCGTTTTAAACGATCATACCCACTTGGTTGCTTGGCGTTCATCCGTCTCCAGGACTACTAGACCTATGAGTGAATTATGAAATTAGAGGTCACTTAGACGGCCCTTATGCACCCCTACGTTCCCTAAACTTCAGGCCTCGCCCTTCTAGTAAAGTTGAGTATGGCCTTGAGTCCCAGCTAGTTAACGTTCTGTGGGTCCAAAGTGATGCACCCTAGTATAATCTGCCTGTTAAAGCTCAGAGCACAGAACATGCGCCGCAGCGCTCACACAAGGAATCCTTAGCCACCCCCCTCTCACGTTCGTTCAGGTAGCGCCTCAATAGCCAGACAACAGTCCCTACAGCAATTTTTGGTTGGCTCTATCCAAGGATAAGCAAAAGCGTCCATCCTGAGCGCTGGACCCTACTTTGACTTCTCGTGCCTGGCGGAGATGTCCGGAGATGTTTCTCCATTCCTGATAGTATAATCTTGCAGTCCACTTCTCCGTTTTCCTCATAACTCTTAGCGCGGGCACCCCTAAAACTGGCTCAGGACCAACGAGCTTGCTGGCTTACCCTGCAAGAGCGTCCGCAGTATCATTTACCTTTACCCAGAGTGCCCCGGTACCCACACTAAGGATACCGGATGCCTCTCTGCTAGATAATCCAGAACCTCCCTGCATTATAGCACCAGGTTCGACGTAATCTTACAGGCACTTAGTGCCTTCATTGCAGCCTGGCTGTCGTAAAAGATTGTTATTCTCCTCCTAGGCCCTCCACCCTCCAAAATGCCGGATACGCAAGGCAGAATGGCAAAGATTTTCGCCTGGAAAATAGTGGTGTATCCACCCCGGATCTCGGCGCCAGAGCCCTCTTCAGTGACCAAGACGTCCATGTACCAGACCTGCCCACTCTCTCCGGAAATCTTCCGGCTACCGGAGTCCC